TGCCTGGCCCGTCATGCATGATCGACAGCTATACTCTCATCCCGGAGCGAAAATGGCGGGAGTTTCGTATAACGTAGGATTTATGACAGAGTATGTTGTGAACGGTAATGCAAGCTGCTGGGATTGGTAGCCAATGGGGCAATCCCCAGTCTTGGTATAATTCTGGCGGTTTCACCTCTATAATCAGGATTCCGGGATTGCTCAAATGAAGTTCAGTCAAAAAACCTCTCTTTGGTTGGGAGCATTTCCACACTATCACTTCCGAAGTTTTACTGTGCGGGATTGATTGTTGGCTTGGTTAAAACGGCCAGGCTCCTGCCGAGACCAATATAGTGAAGTACATGGGCATTTACACCTCCGTCGCGGATCGTGAACAAGCACCTGGTAGGCTAAGTTCTTGGTCTAAGTGGTGAAGTTGGTGGACTCGAAGAATAAGCATTTGGAAATGATCTGGTATAGACTCATGTTGCATTGTATGGGGGTGTCTAATGCTAATGTCTGTGTGGTAAGTAGCCTTACATACTTGGTACCGGTGGATCCATGATCAATTATCTCTCGCTGCCTTGCTCAGCACTACAGACAACCAATTGTCCACGAACTGGTCAGGAGCATTCCGATGTACAGCGTGCATGCGGCGAGAAATAATTGATTGGTCCACAGCTTGTGATCGAGTCGGCGTCGGATAAATCAAGATTATGTATGTATATCCCAGAGGTCGACCACACGGTTGCCGACTATATAAGATACTATGCAAAAAAGGGTATGCTAGCGCCAGACTAGTATGCAAGGCCACAGTTTGCAGACGGAAGTTTCATGTTTTATGACATATCTATCTTGTTCACCAATACTTCCGGTAATCTGTATCGGAGGATCAGTACCTCATGGTACAATGCTCGACCTTTTTCCTCCTGGAGCCACTTGATTGCACTTCCTCAATTGCGTACTCTGCATGTACTCTATCTCGTAGTCTGGTTGGTTTATCTCAAGTCTATTCTTGTGAGTGCCGAGACTACTACACTGGTCTCCATATATGCATACGGCTTACTTAGATACGGTTCACTTTGCCTGCAAGCACCCCAGCCTTCAAACACCCCTTGTACAATCTAATTGTGAGAAGCCGCCCGTCTCAGTATCGTACGACGCTCTTTAGGATATGATACGGATCGTTGGTTATCTTTTCTCGCGCAGGCCTCAATCCTTGTCACTGACCCCTCAAGTAGGAAGCAATGCACGTGGAGAGTCTTGTGTCACCAGAGGATATCAAATTCCCTGAGAATACCCTTACCCGGACCGAGATCGAGTTTCCTGCGGTTGTACCTAGTCTTGTGCCGGTTGCGGCGGGTTACTGGAGAAATTATAAAATGTAATGCTATGAACATATACCGTATTAACTCAGCGTATAGGATTTACTGGATCAAATCGCCCCAGCCAGTGTTAGCGTTGAAGGAGCCGGAACCATAATCGACCCTGCACTGAAGCAACTTAGCAGTGCCTTGATGTTTAAGGAAGCACGAAAATATAAACTTCTGGAGCTGCAAGACAAGCTTCCGAGTGGACGGGTAAATTTTGACTCTACGAGCGGATCTCGAGTATGTGTTTGTTATTCCGTTTCTCACTAACCCTCTAGAATTAATGTCATTGTGCCTTAAAGAACCCCATGTTACCTTTCGACTGGAGTACCCTTACAAGTGCAGTATATGGACACGACCCCTGTACCATGGTTCGTGAATCTTACTACAACGTAAACGGGTCCCTTGGTTACAAGGGCATCAATTAAGATTCTCCGCAGACACTTCCATTCTACCAATTCTTCCAGGATCAAAAATGGAGACGAAGTTCCTTTTTGGGGCTCGTAAGAACCAAGCTCTTGGTTTGGGTAAAGAGTATGGGGCTTTTACCGTTCATTATGAATGGCAAGCTGTTTTTGATCCAAGCGCTCATCGTCGAAGATATCTTTCCCCAACAACCAGTGTATATCATTGCCCTAGGTCGTGGAAGCGTACTGATGCCTTTCATTGGAAGCACTCAACAATCCCAAATAGGATGCCTTGACATCAGTGATGGCGTTCTGTGGGCTCTTGTTGCATGAATACTATCGAGAAGGTCTGAAAGGGGGGATAGGAAGCCACTTTTCGATGGTTCCATTTACAGCCCATGGACCCAGCAAATAATGAGGAACCAGTGAGAATTACACACAAGAACGATTGCACAGAATTTTGTTATCTCGCCAGAGATATGACCTGGGAACTGAAGAAATGGAAGTATCTTGGAGCGAAAATACCGAAGATGGCCATGCCAGGCTGAGCATTGGGCCTGAGGTTCGTTTTACGTTGGTCAATAGTGAGGGAAATAAAGGGCTAAGGCAATTTGCTATCGAGGGAGCAACGACGGAACTGTACGGCGGAGTATCAAACATTTATTTGTGGCCGGAGCCTCGAATGGAGGGAAGTTTTAAACGTCAAATCAGAGCACAAATTTGCTTGGCGCCTCTATTTATGCGTGGACTTCCCGTTTATGGATGCCAAGACCGCCGCTACTACTCTATACAGTTGGGTGGTCGCCAAATCTGATTTCTTCTTACTTTCTACATTGAATTCCAATCAGCTGCAGTAGTACTCTGGCTGACGCAGCTCCGTATAAGCGCTCCAAGTATTTCCACCTGGAAAAGCTGGTCTAGTTGGCACTTTGGGCTTGAATATCTGATTACAGCCAAATTCTGATAACTGAACCACCGAGCCACTTGAAATATACCACCAAAATTACAGTCGGGCTGCACGCTGGAATCAGTGTACGCGGGGGACAGGCCCTGGGGGTTTCTGGTTGCCATTTCGTGCTGTAAACCCGGCAGCACGCATATGCTTGTTCATCCCACTTTGCTCGATCACCGAGGGTATGGAGTGAGATCGATGTCCTAGCGGGTTTACTAGTCTTTCAAACGAGACTACCTATGGATCTACTGTGGCTGTCAGCCTGAAAGACAACGCATTTAATCTAGAGTGTCACTCATTAGCCTTGTATTCACGGTATGCTTGGTGTAGCTGCGGAGGTAAGACGAAGCATCTTCAAAGGGCGCCCTATGCCCTAAGCCCTATACCCGGCTAGCGTAACTGCCCCGCCCTTAGCCCTACCCTCACCGCTCACAACAGCAATGACCCCGGGATCTTACAACAACAAAAAGAGTGGTCTTTAGTCACTACACACGGAAAGAAGAACCTCTGGCCCACACCTGCCGGACCAAAAAAGGGCTGTGCCACTGCAAAAGGAGCAGAAACAAAATGGCACAAAGGAGCAAAGTAGGAAAAAAAAAAAAGCGATACAAGAACCGCCACTGTGCAACCGACAGGTTCCTCCGATTTCGCGCGGGTGGGACTGAAGCGGATTACATGTTCTGCAAATGCGGGCTGTGCTGTATCGTGGATGCGCCTGGAGGGGTGGAAAGTTAGGGGCAAAATGGATGCTACATGATCGCGGAAAATGTAAACAGCAAGCAAGTTCCCCGCGCGTGGTTGGCGTTCAAATGGACTTCTGAGTATATGCAAGTTACTGATGTTATTTCCCAGCCCAAAGCTCCGAAGAATACAGCCAAGAAAATTATTCAACATAATCTGTGCAATCTCGCCACAGCTCAAAAAAATGAGGGCCCCAGTACCAGTACAGGCGACCTTATGCTACCTAAGAGATGGTCAACGCCTGTATGTCCTCCTCACTCAATTCCGGCTCACTCGATTTCGGCTCCTCCGCTTCTTGCTCCCCCGGCTCCGGGCCTGCCTGAGAGCCTACCAGCCAGCTATCGGCGGCAAAGAAGAACCCGGCCTCAATCTCGATGGCGAGGTTGAGGGCTATACCTGTGCCGTGATAACGCGCGACCGCAGTGCCCTCCATGTCGACCCATCTCGCGTACATTTCTCCGCTCGCTCTGATTTGGACAACCTGAATGACAAAGGGCCCCGGGGGCTGTCTGTCATCTAGTAGCTCGATCCTCCCGTGGCTTCTGCCAATAGGTGGTAGGGGTGGGTCCGCTTTGGGATCAACACTGAAGATCCCGTTGCCTCGGGGCTCGGTAGTGTGGATTGACCAAGACCCCGCTAGATATTCGCAAAACTTCAGTGAAGTCTGGCGCACAGTAGGTGGCAAGGTAGTAGGGGAGGTAGCGGGTGGCCTTACTACGCCAGGGGGGTAATCAGGTAGCAGGTCGGAGATGTCGGGGTATTCACTCGTGTCGGGTTCCTTCAGAGGGACTACTTGCAGTCCACCCAGGTACTGACGCAGCTGCTCGCCCAGTGTCTCCATTCGGCATTTTTCGTCATAAGTGAACTGAAAGTTATCCCTATAAGAAATAGGCATGAGTAACGGCGCCATATCCTGAAGAGAACACTGGAGCTCAATTGTTCAAGAATAACAACATACCAGTTCAGCTACACGCATGTCCACTATAGTTAGTAACATTCTGTCACAGGAGGGCGAAGGCTTACAAAAGCCAAGTCAAGGTCAGTCCGGAACCCAATGTCACGGTCAGTCTCTGTCATGGCGTACACAGAATAAACCGGTATCTAGTCTTATGCGTAAAGTAGATTCTGAGATATCCGTGCAGCTAGGCTATGATTTCTGGTGGTGCGGCGAGTGTAGTCCCGGGGGTTGTTGACAACGCTCGGAATAGATTCAACCAGATTCAAAAAGACCAGCCTTTATAGAACTGAGAAATAGGCCCTCCACTTCCATAGTCAAGGGGGCACCTTAATGCGTGGCTGACACACCCTCGCTATCGAAACAGATGTAAACTCTGCCTTGCGGGACTGGTCCGCTGAATCGTGGTGCCGAATACCACGATCAGGCCTGATGACCACGGCGCATTCCATGAAACCATAGGTGCCCATCCATAAACAACCATAATATATACAAGGATTTACGATTCGTCGCTTTGTACTAATGAGCTCCTCCGGTAGGTCGTATACGACAGTTACAGAACCAGACTGGTGGCAACCACAGAAGCAAAAAGAAACTGACCCGACTGGGACTCGAACCCAGATCGCCAACCTCATCCCGTAGCGCCAGGGCGTATAGGCTTACGTATAGGCTTATCTAGCGGGCTTCATACCATTAGACCACCGGACCTTTTTCTGCGGACATCTCGCATTACAACGACCAAGCACTTTAAGAGTACATAAATGCACGTAGCTTAGCGTTACGGATACTTGCTCACACCCTCAGCAAACTCTCTCGACTCAAGCCTTGAGGGAAGTACAACCCCAATCTCAGACGCATTCGAGCTCTTCCTCGTCGCACCCCGCTTACACAGCAAACCTGCCCCACACGGCATTGGCCCAGAGCAGTTCTTGAACGCACCCACAACCCCAGCGGACGCCGGTCGCAGATCTCGGTAGGCGTAACCACCCAAACCCAAGAGAGCTCCCACACCTTCGGGGCACCTTCTTCAGTCAGGGCCATGCCTGCTGGAGTGCATAAGAGTAGGGGGAGGCTATCAAAGGAACAACGATTGGCCCTCGCTCCCCAATAACTGCAACTGGCAGCAGATAGCACACAGGCTTGGGGGACGCTGGGTCCATATTGCAAAGTTCCTTGCAGCAAGGAGCAAAGGCCAGCGCCGTGTGTAAAGAAGTATGCCCTTTCAAGGGAGCATTGGGATAAGTATCAGATAGGCTAGTTCGCTTCCTTGTGACGGGAGGCTGTTGCCCGTCAGTGTTTGCCTAAATTTATAAAAGGAACTGGCTACCGTCAGGTTGCACAGCCTCTCGCAGGGCCGGCCGCCACCCTGGCCGCATAAATAAAATGTTTGTTTGGTCGTCTCAGAGAGTATAGATCTGACGGTGCCAACCAGACTAGATCTGACGCTGTTGGGCAACCAGCCATGCTTGACCACATAGCCCCAGGCCATGTCGAGGAGCATTTAGTATACCCGCCTTCCCCCGTTCTTGGAGCCCCATTTGTCGACAGATACTGGGCTGATCCAGCTTATCGTACGTCAATTCCGATGCCAGTCTTCGCATACACTCCCGTCCCCACACCTGGCAGTCCAGAGCGGTTGGCGCGTATCTTGTCCATCTATCCAATCCTGGCGTCCATCCTCTCCTACGGCCACCGCACTAGTATCATCAGCTTGGCCCGCACGTGCCGCACCATCCACTCCATCCTGACCACCAGCGTAGGCACACTCTGTAAACCGTTTACCCTGTGTTCGGGAGACCTTCAGCCCTGCACGAGGTGCCAAACACCCACGTGCAAACACTGAAGACACGAGGCGGTAGAGCTAATACGGCCAGCTGTGTTGCTGTCTTTTGATGGAGGCACCTACACTCTGGTTGGTAGCGAGGGAAGAGGAATCTGGGATGCGATAAACATGGCCCGAGAAAGGGGTCCATCTGGGCCTCATATGAATTCACAACGCACAAGCTCGAGCACAATCTCTTTTGCGAATTATGTTTTCCCAAATACCAGGGCACGGCGCTGTCAGAGAAGAAGCCAGAGTGGGTCCGGCGGCACATGATTAGAAACAAGCGACCTAGGATCCAGGACAAAGATTCCGCGGCGGGGGCACTGGTTGCGATGGACCGTAGCTGGGAAGAGGTGCCGCAAATAAATACTGCATGTACGTGCCCCTGGCTCAACGCAGGATGTGTGGCCTCCTTGCATCTTGTGAGGGTTCAAAGTCTATACTACAAGGTGAATTGGCGGTGTTTGCATGGGTGCCACAGCGCTTGCGCAACGACGTGGTCCAGATGCAACACAATTGTCTCCTCCTCCAAGTCCTGGATATGCCGTGGCAACCACTGCTAGTCATGCGAGCCTAAAACAGAGCCCTATTTTTTATTTTATTTTATTTTATTTTTCTAGCCTCCCTGCATCAATCCTGTGTTTTCTCTTCCCCTTTGGCTTTGTGCTAGGCTCAAGCCCCCCATATTTCGAGTATATCCGTTGGAACCTTGTGTGTTGACGCACTCTCTTCCCGGTAGCTTGAACTCTCCCCGTAGTCTGATTGCACTATTTGTTGTATACATTTTTCCCTTTGTAGCTTCATGACTGCCTGGAAAATCTATCGGCCGCCACGTGCGGCTGGGTAGCCCCATATCCTACCTGGAACACTCCGGCGTAACCTCTTCCCAGCTGTAACTTTTTTTTTTTTTTTTCTGTGCAAAGAAAAATTTCCCATCGAGGGTTTTATACCGCAGCCAGCAAGGAGCCAGCCCTGCAGGATCCACGCATATATCGCGGAAATTCAGATTTCCGGCCCTTCTCCTGGAGCTAGGATCATTCCGTGGATTGGGCGCGGAGGAGGGCCCTTAGTCTCGGGAATGGGAGGTGTTTGTTTGCATCTGTACAACAGAGTGGCAGAAAGGGTGGTTGTTGCTGTGATGTGTTTTAACAGACAACTACTTTCCGATGATCATCCACCCAAATGGCAGTGTATGTGTGTGGGCGGGGGGGAAGGTCAAGAATTATTCTCTACAACACCACGAATATCTATGTACAAAGGAAACGATAAAGGTAAAAAAGCCATCTCGGTCAAACTAAAAACCCCCACCCAGCCGCAGGGCCGCAATGCCCACTACCCACACCCACATTCCCCCGCCCTGCACTGTCCGCCCCGCGTCCGCGGCGTCCGCGGCGCCTTCGAAGCCCTCATCCGCGCCCCAGCTCGACATACTCCCCATCCTGTCCCTCCGCCTCAGCCCCTGCACCTTCAGCCTCCGCGCCCCAGCTTCCTCCTCCGCATTCAAGTCCCCCATAAAAGCCAAAGCCCCCCCGCACCGCCCCTCCCCCCACCGCGCAAGCAGCGCTTTATCAGCTCCAGAGCAGCGCGCCCCGTGGAGGCATTTCAAGAGCTGCACTGTCGGGGGAGCGGCATCGCTGTCGTTGCCGAGCAAGGCTGCTGCGCGCTTCGCGGGGGCGGCGCAGGGGCAGTCGGCAGCGAAGCGGTCGAGGGGGTCCGAGGAGCAAAGGCAGGCGGAGAGGTCACCGGGGGTGCACTGACTGAGCGTGTTTGCCGTGAACGCCGTCAGGCAGGCGCTGCAGGATGCCGACAGCTTCCCCGGCGCAGAAGCCGGCTCCGTGGGGGCGGTGAGGAGATCGCTAATCTCCAGTGTCCCCTGCCGTATACTAGCGGGGGGAGGTGCGCACAGCCCGCTGTAGTAGTCCAGCAGCTCACCAGCCGCCGAGCCGGTGCAGCTGCTCCGCGCACAGCTCAGTATCGGGGAAATGTACACCCCGCCGATTTCCCCCCCCGCCGCGGTAAAGCCCTGGCAGTAGCATTCCGAGAGGTGCGGGGTTTCGCATTCGGGGAGGTTGAGGTTATGCGGGACGGTGCATTTCCGGCAGTCGCCTAGTGGGGGGTAGGCGAGCAGCTGAGCTGCAGAGAAGGGTGCTGCGAGAAGCGCTACTAGGAGGCTGCGGAGAGAAGGAATGGTGGCCATTGCGGATCGAATTGTGGTCAATATACAGCATGCCCCAGCCTGCAGCCTTTGTCTGTAAACGAGCGACTGGAATTTCCAAAACGTGGACGCGTGAAGACTGGCACAAGGCGCACCGCGATAGACACAAACTTATACCTACCCCAGGACGGAGGAGAGACTGAAAGGAAGCCCCTCAATCTCGCTGCCCCCACGATCGGCGGGGAGATGGGGCGGCCGTCGGAAAGGAGGGAGATCGGCGCGGCAGGGGATGCCAGAAGCGGCCTGGCGGCCGGGGACCAGTCAGAAAGTGAATGGCAGCGCCGCCGCTCTGAAAATGCGATCTCTGGGGTTGGGCAACTCGGGGCGGAAGAGCCGTGCTGCTTTGGGGACGAGTACCGGCGCGCTGGGGCAATGCTCTGCATGTACGCGCTCTGCCGTACCGTGCGCGCGAGGATGCGATTCTGGAGGCTTGCGGCCGGAGATTTCAAATTGCTGTGTACTTGAGCCACTGCGGGGCGTGTTTGTTTGTTGTTGTTGTTGTTGTTGTTGTTGTTGTTGTTGTTGTTGTTGTTGTTGTTGTTGTTGTTGTTGTTGTTGTTGTTGTTGTTGTTGTTGTTGTTGTTGTTGTTGTTGTTGTTGTTGTACGCTGCAGTGCCAGTTTCAACCCGCGGCGAGTCTGGCTGCACTCCCGCACCCTCGCCCCCTCCCACTGCCCGCCCCCCCCCACTGCCCGCCCCCCCCCACTGCCCCCACCTACGCCGGGTACTGTATATACATCCAAGTATATAGTGACGGCTGGCACAGGTGCATCTAAAACCTCTGCCGGCCTCGCCACCGCTCCTGCCACCCGTCATAAAAGGGACTCTCCTTCAGCGTCCCCACGTCCCATTCTAAGCTGACCACCCCGCTCTCCCTCTGCTCCCTGTCCCACCTCTCCATCGCCGGAAGCACCACATGCGCCACATGCCACACCCCCTTGTACTTTAAAATCTCCCGGCTGCCCTCCCGCAGCACTTTCCCCAGCAGCGCCGGCACACCTTTCTCCTCCCTCAGCGCCGCCAGCTCCGTAAAAACCGCTTTGTAGTTGAAACACACTGCACCCGAAACCGGTAGCCTCCGCAGCGTCTGCCAGTCGACTCTGAGATTTACATCCTCGAGCGTGAGCCCCGGATCCTGCACGCTGCGCCGTGCATCGCGGTCCTTGTCGCCAGGGAGAATAAAGAGGGGTTTCCCGAGCTCGAGCGACCAGGATCCGCGCTGGATGGGCTTTGAGGGGGGAAGGGACTGTGAAAAGAAGCGGTCCATGGAGAAGGACAGTTTGGCGGCATAGTGCGGGACGGCGCCGGTTGTGTGGTGCATGTCGTGGAGAGAATACCCGAGCTTGGTACCGAGGTTCCAGCCGATCGAGGAGCAGATGACTCCCGCGCGGAGGGTATATTGAACTTTGGGGGGTTCGTTCGAATAAAGAGGCGGGACGGTCGTGGGGAGCATAAGTGCAAAATCCTCCGGTACCTATTGCGACTAATCAGGACCAATGAAGTTCCGTCCTGAATTTTCAGGCGGGGCATACATTCTCCAACAACACCATCAGCGGCGCGATATTCCTATCCAGCTCTGTCCTTCTTGTTTACCAATATCTTGCCCCCCGCTACATCCGGATCCCCCACCAGTGAAAACCACTTTGGATACCGCTTCTCCAACCACGTT